AACTATGTAAACTATTCGATCATGTACACACTTCCATATTACAAGTGTTAATAAATTATTTATGTAGTTTTCTGAAGTGGACTCATCAGATAATCCCTCTTCATACGTGGTGTAAGCTTCAAGGGATGCAAAATAGAGATGGAAACGTTTCTTAAAAATATCTATATATATCTACACTGAAGGCAATATTGATTAAAGCTTTTATAATGAAACTGTTTAGTTAAGGGCAAAAGTGAGATTTTAAAGTATTTTTTTTATACGATAATTACAAGTAAATGGAGTACATGCGGGATTTCAAGTGATTGTGACCCTCTATTTATACAGTGGCATGTCCAATGTACATTTGAAACCTTCATTTCTCCATGGTTTCTGAAGCAAGAAATGCGCGAGTCACTTTTGTAGATTAACCACAAATAAAAAAAATCATCAGTTTTCAAAATGGGAAACACGGATTTTTAATGCAATACTTGATCAGACAAAGCTTTGAAGGGTATTGTTGTGAATCAGAAATATGCTGCTACAGTCTTCCATAATTCGGAAAATAATTGGATTTTTTTTAATGCGCCAATTAAAAAAAATCCGACAACACCTTCAAATGATTTAAAATGGCCGACTTTCAGAGTAACAGTTAAAAGCTAAAATTATATACAGGAAATGGGGTGCCAACCTGAAAGTCTAGTGATAAATATTTTGCTAGATAATTCTATACAAAAATTACAGCGGCCCTTTAAATAAAAGATTCTGAAACCACAGAATCTGTCATTTATACAAGGTAAAAAATCCAGATGTTGTTAATTTTGTTTATGATCTATTTTAAACAATTTTTTTAAAGAACTTTTAGCCTAAATAATTAGAACTCAAAGAAGTAAAAAAAGGTGAAATTGTAATGTTTTGTTATATAAAGTTATGTAATGTAATATAATTCATCTTAATTAGATTTGTTATTAATATTTTTAAAATTCGGTGATGGTGATGGACAAACCTCTGTAGAGAAAAAAGTAGATGCTAGTTCCACATTTATTGAAAATATATTTCGGTCTAGGTTGACCCTCGTCATTTCTAACGATATAATAACCATCAAAATCGTTGTTAAAAACCACAAGAAAAAAAAACAAACAAAAAAGATTATTTAAACAAAATTTAAAATGGGCTGTCAAATATACAAAGGGGAAACGAACTCAGATCATAAGATGGAAAAAAGATAATTTNAATTGCTGTAGATTGGAATTATATGGGGTTGTAAAAGTTTTTTTTGAATTTGTTGAATAAATTTTTATTTTTACCAGCTGAAATTAAAAGTTTGATCTTAAATTCAAAACCGTAAAAAAAAGTATTAATTTTTAAATTAAATCGTTTATTTTATGTGTTCCAGGGCCCACAAGCAAGTAGAGATTATAAATGTGGAGAATAGGGATTTGAATGGAAATTAGAAAATATCTTTATTTAGAGTTTTTGTGTGTTAATTAAAATTCTACCTCAGTCAGTTCATCGGAGGATATAAACCCATCTCCGTTTTTATCAAAAACCTAAAAACTTACATTAAAGTTAGACCACGAGGTGGTTTTTTGATATTGATCTAAAAAGCATTATTAATGGTTTCCTTCTGCTTTAATTTAGCAAAATTTGATTTTTCATTTACCACCTGACATATGTAAAATTTGTCATTAAATTAGGTTGCACAATATTTGTCAAATTTGTTAAGCTGTGATCTGTCAAACATTCTCATATACGATACTTAGATGCACTTTAAGCTTTTTGCTTGAACGATATTGTTCTTTTATTTACAAATTTTGATTTTGACACTTACAGGGTTACCCGTAAAGAAGACGACTGTATAGATATTGATGATTTTTTAACCCTTCAAACTTTTTTTGCTTAAACAAGATTTGCGAAACCAAAAAATATGTTTGAGAACGAAGATTAATCTAAACCATTTATTTGTATTTCTTAATTTTTGGGTGGATACGTTTTCAGAATTGTTTTTTTAATTATCAAATAACGAGGACAAAAAATGTAAACAAAATTCTACAGTAACTAATTAGCTGTTTAGTAACAGGTTAAGAAAATAAAAAATCAACTCTTATCATCGAAAATAAGTAATCTTATTCAATTATTAGTTTCTATAATCTCTCTTTAATCACAAAAACCTTCAGCAGATTTTCTGGAATTTTATTAAAAAACGACATTTGAAGAATTTGAAGAGATCTGCGAACAAATTCATAGAAAATAAGAAATACAATATAATGATGAAAAAGGAAATAATTAATTCTAACTTCGATTTATTGACGAAAATTCTTTTGAGAAATACGTTTCTAAACATCTAATTTGTTTACTATAGAATTTATATTTTTCGTCGTCGTTATTTAACAATTTAAAAAAAACCGATTCTGAAAACATATCCACCTAAATTCATGATTTTGAATGTCGACTTTGCGCTCAAACTCAGTAATTATACATCGTGGAAACGTTTTATATGTCTCAAATGAATCCTGAAGTATTTGTCCACAACACTGAATACGATCAGTTTAACTACCTGACCGGTCTGTCCCTTTAACATCTAACCTGAAATGCATCTTTGAATTCTTCAGTTTTTTCTCGAACTTTCTCCAATTCAGATCTTTTTGCCATTATTCTAAATCATTAAAGGGACTGTACAGGAAAAATGAAAGGGGGTATAGGATGAAACCTGAGAATCTCAGGCGTTGAACGATACATATAAGACATCTATATGATGTTCCTGTCTCGAGAAATGGATATAATACTGTGCCAAAATTATACGAAAATTCATATATATTCAACAAAAGTAGTAGGTTTAAGCAGATCATATTCAGCAAATACGCAACCAATCTGAAAAAAAGACTATAATCTAACAAAAAACCTGAGAATCTCAGGTTTTCTCCTTTTATAATTTTTTAATTTTTATTTTGCATTTATAATAGATATAATTGATAATATTATAACATATAGTCCGTATAGTCCGTATTACGTCACCAGAACTTCAACCAATAGCAGTGCAGTTTACTGGTAACGTGATTTCCGTCTGTATCACGATACTGCACTGCCATTGGCTAAAGATCTGGTGACGTAATACGGACTCGAGCTAGTGGATTTCCAAAACACTTTACGATCGAGCACGAACATGAACAAGATTGAACCCCCCTCTATTTTCTTATTGTGAATTGTGATACAAATCTATAACATTTGATATGGTTTGAAAAGCCATTAAGCTATACTTCAATATACTGCAAAAAATGGCAAATTTGCAAAAATCCAAATATTTAATGCAATATCTAGTTATAACGAAAAAGTGCACCAAAAAAAAATTGCGAAAATTGTAACAAATTATAAATTTTTGAAGAGCTTTTGACCCAGCAAATTTAAATGTACAAACACATTTACAAAATTTTTGAAACCTCTAAATATTCAAAAAAAAACCGAAGACGTGCAAATTCCCTTCAGAGGCGTCTCTGAAAAATTTCTTTGAAAAAATTGTGCAATTAGTTTTCTTTTGTTATAGGCTTACCAAAGAGCTATAAATTGTTGAAATTGCAATAACTGGAAGTAAGTCTAAATATAGACTTAGTCTGGTATAGGTAAAATAAAGCATGTGATAGTGATGGGCATGTGATAGTTTGAAAAGTCAGAAAGTTAGAAAACATAACATTTGAACAATTTAGAGACTTCTTCTCAAAAAAATTTCTTAAGCGGCCAAGCCTTATTTGACATAAATAAGAGGTTTTTATTTTGGCGGACCCCCCCCGCCTCTACTACCCAACTGTGCTCCCCCCCAGTATATTTATGGTTAAAGAGGCGTCAGTCTGAACTCTGAATAGGGTTAAACAAGGTTTTTTATTACCTTAAAAACTCATCAAACGTTACGTAGCCTGTTCCATCTCCGTCAAAAGACAGAATAATCTTAAAATTAATAAAAAATTTAATTAAAGTTTTTCTGAAAATTTTTCTCGCTTACCTCTCTTACTTCTTCATCTGAGGGTTCCTGATCAATCCCTCCACTTCATGAAAAATTAACAATCTTTAAGTCTTAAATAGATAGGGGACGTAGGTAGGTAGGTTTGGGTAATTTTCACTCAAACAACTTCGTGTGCGTTTTATTAACGATGAAAATGAAATGAAAATAAAACGATTGTGATAAAACAATCGGATTTGAAAACCGAAATAAAAGTTATTTCTAAAAAATTAACCGATCGTTTCCAAAAGAGAAAACAATCGTCTTCCCAAGAAAACCGTATGCAGGATCAAGTTCAATGGTGTTATCAGCGTTGTCTGAACAAGTATGAATTGGAAATCAATGTTTATGAAAACTAACTATTTTCAATCGTGTCTTCTCTACATAATAACATGCCCATATCTTCTGCAGGGAGACAATAAGAAATGAAACCATTTTAAACGTAGAAAAACGATAATTTCTTCCACATTATAGATCAAACAAAGATTTCGAGGGTACCTTTGTGAATCGGAAATTGTTATCTTTCCATGAAGGTGCGCTTAACATTACGCAAAGAATTCCGCTAAATAACAAGAAGATGAAATCGATTCATGCATTTATTCCAGCTCTATGACGTTCAAATATTTATATTTTCCTTCCAATAGCTCAGAGAAAATTGGAGTAAAATTACATTCTACCTAACGCCAAAAATATCCTATTTCAAACTTATATGAATAAACATAAAATAGATGGCACGGAGAAACCTTCAACTTAAACAAATTGTATTTCTTTCCTAAATCTCCTGATCAGCTGATCCATCTCCGCCATGTTTAATTTCCCGGATTTATCCTCGTCGATTAGATTAAATGCACGTTTAAACTGCTTCCAGTCTTCCTCCTTCAAATACAGTCTGTGAGTAGATTTAAGAAACAGAGAGACATACAGTGATAACCAGAAAACTCTGGAATAGGAAGTCAACTTTAGCAGACCCATTTTACTTAATAAGTGATTAAACAACTTACTGGTAAAGCTATTTGCTTTGTATCACCATCAAATGGGATCAAGTACAAAAGGAAGAATTCCAAAAGGTAGAATTCCCAAAGGTAGAATTCCAAAAGGTAGAATTCAAAAAGGTAGAATTTCAAAAGGCAGAATGATCAAAAGGTAGAAATAACAAAATGTTGAATTACAAAAGGTAGGATTTTCCAATTTTAATGTTACATTATGTTAGGATGGGTTAGGACAATTTATGGGCCGAGCACTGCGGCCTCCTTAGTGTTGAATGATGTTTATTTTCTCACCTTCTTTTGGGTTAGGGTTGGTTAATAAAATTTCTGGGCTGAGCGTGAAACAGTCAGCACATATCATCAATGAACATTTAGAGGCTGCAGCACTCGGCCCCCTAACAAATTCTAGGAGACAGCACTCAGTCTCCTAGCCCATACTAGCAGGCAGCGCACGGCCCCTTAGCCCATCCTAGCAGGCACTGCTCGGCCCCCTAGCCCATCCTAGCAGGCAGCGCTCGGCTCAGAAATTTTCTTAACCTAACTTAGTAGTAGTCGACGCTTTGTAGCAATCATTGTTTTGTAGGTGACCAAATGCTGAATTCAAACGAGGAATGCAGTTTTGAGAATATTAAAAAAAGAATTTCGCAGATTTTCCTCCAAAAATTGTAAAATTTTCTTGCTTCTCAAAAATTGGAAAATTCTACCTTGTGGATGTTTCACCGTACGTAATTCTAACTTTCGACCGTTCTTCATTTTATATGTTTTATCTTTTGAATGTTCTACCTATTGATCGTTCTATCTTTTGTAATTCTACCTTTTGTAATTTTATTTTTCAACCTTTTGTACTCGAGCCATTAAAAGCACTTTAAAATTGCTTAAATGTCGTCTTCCTACTTTTTTCTGGTTATCACTGTAGTTAAACTACAGGGTGTCCCACGAAACAATTCTACTTCATTTACAGGGTTCATCCTTTCTCGCCATTTATGAATTCTGAGGCCGTATTTAAAGAATTTGAACCGCGTTGCAGTGAAAGCAAAATACCGGTTCCAATTGAGCGCAGTCTCAAACTTCGGAAGACTTTTTCAAATTTCCAGCTGAATTAAACCGCGTCTCATGTTTGAGTCGGGTCTAGACGCGGTTTATAATCTTTAGACACTTGATTAGGTTCATTTTTTTAATTAAATCATTGTTTAGATTAAAAACTGAAGAATTTACCTCTATGTAGAAATCATAGTTAGATTTTACAAATTTTTCTGTCATTTTTAAACTAAGATCTAAGAAAACGAAAAATCTCTTTTTTACGTTTAGAATTTAGATGAAATCGTAGATAAGTTAGAAAAGACAGAACAAATGATAACGCTCATGAACGTCCCCAATACCCAAAGAGAAGAAAATATATTAGAGTGGAATTTAAACGATCCCTCGGTATGAATTTTGTCAGTCCCTTTCAGCCTGAAAGGGAGTTCAAAGGGTACAAATCATGTAAATGTTCACAAATTATATGCAGTTGAGTACATTAATACAGTATGTTCCCTGGACTATGCGTTTCAATTTCGAATATAATAATTTGGTTTTCTCTGAATATTAGTTTTATATTTTCTATAAAATGATGTTCCAGGGCCCAAAAGGTTATATAGCGCAAATATGTGAAGTACACCTGCAGTATGGAAACAGTACAACAAAATGGCCGTTTTACACTTTTTTCTAGTAAATTCCNAAATGGCATGGTCAAGGGCTTTTCAAAAATGTATAATTTGTCATTTTTTGGACAAATTTTTTTTTGCAAACATTTTTACTATATAACTGGATTTTGCGATAAAAATTTCAATTTTTGCAAATTTGCAATTTTTTTGCAGATTCTAAAAGTGGAGCACAAGAGCTTTCCAATGATGTATCATTTGTCATATTTGGACATCAAACATGGGATTTAGAGGGGGGGGGTCAACTTGACCCCCCCAGCATATCCTGGTTTTCAAGTACCCCATCAGAGATAGGGTTAAAATAGCCGACTTTCAGAGTAACAGTTAAAAGCTAAAATTATTAACAGGAAATGGGGTGCCAACCTAAAAGTCTAGTGATAAATATTTTGCTACAGTGAAACCTTAATAAAGAATACATCGAAAGAGTTCATCAAATGTTGTATTCTTGACTTTCTGATAATTGAATGTTGCAGATATTTACTTTTTTTATTAAATGATTATATGTAACTCTTTAAAACTGTTCCCGCATATTCATGGCTATTTATTTATTTGCACAAATACTGAAATTTACGTAATATAATATAAAACTCATTAAAAATTGTCAAGACGACATTTGATAAATTCTTCCGATGTATTCGTTATTAAGGATTTCACTGTAGATAATTCTATAAAAGATTACAGCGGCCCTTTTAAATAAAAGATTCTGTCAAGTACAAACAAGGTAAAAAATCCAGTTTTCAAAAACTGATGTTGTTTATTTTGTTAATAATCCATTTCAAAACAATTCTTTTTCAAGAACTTTTAACCTAAATAATTAGAACTAATTAGAAGTAAAAAGAGGTAAAATTGTAATGTTTTGTTAAAGATAATGTTGTGTAATGTAATATGATTTATATTAATCAGATTTGTTATTTTGAAAAGTCGGTGATGGTGATGGACAAAACCTTTGTAGAGAAAAAAAGTAGATGTTAGTTCCACATTTTATTGAAAATATATTTCGGTGTAGGTTGACCCTCGTCAGTTCTAACAATTTAATAACCATCAAAATCGATGTTAATAACCACAAGAAAATAAACAAACACAAAAGATTATTTAAACAAAATTTAAAATGGGCTGTCAAATATACAAAGGGGAAACGAACTCAGATCATGAGATGGAAAAAAGATAATTTCCAAAT